ACCAACGTCTTCGTCTGCCGCTCAGTCACCGCCAGCCACTGCACGAACTCCTGCAGCACGTCCGACTTCTTGGCGACCGGCCTCGCCCACACGAAGTGGGTCTTGCGGTCCTTCAGCAGCAAGAAGTACAGGCTGCCATCCTTGGCAGCCACGTGGAACGGCCCGCATAGGTTGATGTGCACGACATCCAGCACGTCTTTGGCGTCGGTGCCGTGGTCGGGGAAGGTGTGCCGCGCCAGCTTCCCGCCGACGCACAAGACACGTGGAGAGTCGGCGCCGGACGCCGACTTGAGGTCCAGCCCAATGGCGACATCGTGCTTCGCCGAGCTCCGGATGGTGTCCATGCCGACATGTGCGAGCCTCGCATGCATCCTGTCCGGCGTCGACTTCGTCGCCGAAACTAATGCCCGTAGGGCCACCACCTCCGTCGAGGGCGTCGTCGGCATCGTCGAGCAGGGACGCAGGTCGGTGCAGAGGACCCGGCCGATGTAGGACGCCCAACCGAGGACGTCCCCTGCCGCCGTGACGAGCAGCATCTCGTTGCCATCCTCCTTCGGCTTCACGCCTTTCTCCTTGAGCTGGCCAGCCAACAGCAGGTTTGCATGCACGCCCGGAACGTAGAGCACGTTGAGAATCGGCACCTGCTTCCCGGCCTCCCCTCGCAAGGCGACCGTGCCCCGGCCCTGGAAGTCATGCAGTGCCTTGTTCAAGTCGCGCACGTGCTTGACGTCGCCGCACGGCTGCAGGTCGACGAAGACCTCCTTCGTCCCCATCAGGTGATGCAAGCAGCCGCTGTCGAGTAGGACCACCTCTGGTTTCGCCTGCACCGTTGCCGCCATCGCCTGGAAGTTCTTGCCAGCCTCCGGCGCCAGCGAGACGGTCGGCTCCACGACGCCAACTAGGGAGCACGACGCCTCCTTGTCGTCTCACCCCTTGCCGCTAGCAGCGGATTCGGCGTCCTTCGCCAAGGTCGACAACTTGGTCGACTGCTTCTCCTTGCGCTGTGGGTTTCCTCCTCGACGCGGACGACGACTGCCCGACCTCCCGCGGCCTCCCTCGGCGTCGTCGTTGTTGGAGTCACTGCGGTCGGGGCACTCGAAGGAGAGGTGGTCGGGGCTGTGACAGATCCAGCACTCTAGACGCCGACTTCCTCCTCCTCGACCGTCTTCCTGAGCCAACTTCTTCTTGTCGGCATCCTTGGCCGGTTTCCAGCAATTGCTACCACCGCCGCCAGACTGCCCGCGCTGCCCCGGTTGGCCTCCTGCTTCGCCGGGGCGACGTAGTTCGGCTGCGGCAGGAGCTCCAAGGACTGCTTGGCCTCCTGCATCGCCTCATCCCGCAGGATGTACGAGGTTAGGGAGTCCTCGTTGAGCGTCGCCCGCGTGCTCGGCACCACTAACAGTCGCTTCATTAGGTTGTAGCTGCTCGGCAGCCCCTTCAGGACATGGGTGACATACGACGCCGTAGAGTACTGCACGCCGGACATCCTCATTGTGGCGAGAAAGTCGCCGCGCCCGGTTGCAGTAGTCTGTCGCTATCTCCTGGTCGCCCATCCGCAGATGCGTCATCTGCTCCTTGAGCTGGCCGATGTACAGGTCGTTGGTGACTTGGTACGTCGACTCGATGAAGTGCCACGCCTGGTGGCCAGTGTCCAAGTAGTCCCTGCACGGCTTCAAGGCGATCTGCACGCCCGGCGAGCAGCACCGCGAGATGACCGTGAAGGTCAGCAACTGCACAAGGCAAAACTCTGCACGCAGTTCGGGGTAGTGCTCCGACGGCGTCGCCATGGTGCCGCGGGCAAAGCCAATCATCCTGGCCATCTCCAGCTGGGGCTCGATAGCTTCCTCCCATGTGAGAATGTTGGGTCGACCGACCAGCAGGGGGGTGACCGAGATCCTGCCCGGCGGAAACTTGAAGTAGCCGTAGCTCGGTGCTATCCCGCCTGCTGTCACGTGGGTCGCGGACATCGGCGACAATCCACTTCGCCGACCTCCGACGTCACCTTGCGAGGAGCCTGCAGCCGCCGACGACCACATCCCTCGCGCCTGAACGTCGCTGACTTCATTGGCGTGTATCACACCTCGCTGCCTCGACGTGCCTCCCGCACTGCTGCCGACTTGGTCACCACCAGCGTTGATGCCCACGTCAACGCCGCCTTCGTCGTTCACCGATCGAGGAGAGGCTGATCGAGCAGGGTGCTATTCCGCCCACATCGATCGAATGCCTGCCTCGATGACCGCCAATGGTAGGTTTGGCCTGTACTCATTGGCCTCATGGTGTCTCCTCGCATCCTCCAGCCGTGCCTCCAGGGTGTCCACCACTCCTGCGTCACCTACGACGCCTACCATAGTGACTACCGCACAGCTGCCGGCCTACAAACGCGAGTTAGGTAAGTGACAATTACGTTGACTTGACTGAAAAGGAAAGTCGTGTGCCTTCCACGCTCACTGCACCATGCGGAGATAACTCAATCAACGGGAGCTATGCTACGGGCTAGGCACGGGTGCTCATGTGATCTCTGTGTTCGTTCTTTCCTTAGTCATTTCCAAGTGCTCACACTACTTGCTAGTTCACGGGGAGAATTGCCAAGAGTTTTATGAGGAAAACATGACAACAATGATAGCAACAACATTGGCATGCAAGACTACATCAGACCTAGCAAAGCTGCTGGTCGACTTCCAGCACAGCACGGTCGACCGCATGCTAGCACGACTTGGTCAACCGCGCTCCAGCAGAGCAAAGTCGCAGCTTTCCAACGTTGCAAGTCCACGGTGTGCCAACGCTGCAGCAAGTCGGCTGCACAACGTTGCACCCGCAGGAAAACGGTGCACCTACTTCCCAAATGCGTGCAGCTGGTTGGTGCGCCGCTCCTCGTCACGGGCACAGCGCAGACGCCCGGCAGAGTCTACGCCAGCGTCTGCGCCCACCAGCCACGTCGACCTCGGGATACCACCCCCGAGGTCGGCCTCGCTGAAACAACCCCGGCAACCTTCGCACACGTCACCCGGGTATCCCAGTCGACCGAGCAACCCCGCCTGGTCGACCAGCTCAGCCCGTCGCCAACCACCCATGACTGGCGTTCCCTATGTCGGCTCCAGCTGGTCGACGCCCGGCGTCCTCCCATGTCGACCCACTTGCCCGGCGCCATCTTCCTCAGTGCCCTGTTACTCGGCGCCCAGCTCCCCTGTCCAGGTCGACGTCGGCGCCCCCTTCGTCGACCACCACAACTTGGCGCCCAGAAGTTGGCGCCCTTGCAGTGGCCCCCGTGCAGGTCGACCATCCTCGTCGACCAGCTCGCCCACTGCTGCAGGTCGGCTGCACCCTTCACACCCGATCACGAGGTCGGCTCCGCCCAAGCGAGGACGGGGCCTACCACAACTCCCGTTGACAAGACGGACAGACTGAGCACGTGAACCAGACCTTGGAGAAAAAATTTCGCAGCATCACGATGCACGACGCACCCGCATGGGACAAGAAGCTGAGCATGGAAGAGTTCGCCTACAACAACACGCACCACTCCGCCACAGGCATGTCATTGTTCTTCGCACTGTATGGTTATCACCCCAATGTCCCCACTCGTGTCGATCTCACACCCACTGTCCCTCGTGCGGACAATTTCCACCATCTCACCTTCATTCACGACCATGTGAGGAAGCACCTTGAGCTCGCAAATGCACGCATGGCACACACCACCAACCGCAGTCGTCGTGAGGTGTCGTTTGCAGTCGGCGACCGTGTCCTTTTGGATAGCCGCATCCTCCGACTGCCACAGGACAGCAAGCTTCGCCCTCGTTTCATTGGTCCATTTGACATTGAGCGCGCACTTGGTCCAGTCGCATACCGCCTCCGCCTTCCCGCTCATTTCCGCGTGCACTCGTCATTCCACGTGTCTCTCCTTCGTCCATACACCGATCCCAATGCCACCTTCTCGGGCCGTGATCGCACTCCACTGCCGGTAGCTGTTGACACCGACGAGCCCGACTACCAGATCCAGCGCATCCTTAGGCACCGTCGCCGTCTCCAGGGGGGTGTCTCTTTCACTGACTTCTTGGTTCGTTGGCGTGGTTACGATGCAGCCGACGACAGCTGGGTTCCTTCGTCCTCGCTGTCTTCTGACAACGCTTGCCTGAAAGCGTACCTTTAGTCTGCAGGCACCGTGGACGTCGCCTCCTTGGGAGGGGGGTAGTGTTACGGTTTACTGCTCAATCCCTTTGGGTAGTTCACCCGAAACAGTCCCCCAACCTAATCCCAACCTTATCTCCATCCAATCCCTTTGGGATTTCTTTGATTTCCTAGTGCCACGTGGCACTCTAGCTTTGTTGCCTTCTACTTTCTAGTCCCACGAACTACTTTCCGACATTCGCTCTTGCATGCTATATCAACCTTGTTTGTACTTGTCATTATCAACCAATTCTCATTAATCCATCACTCAGTAACTTCTTCGCCTATTTCGCTAATAGTTCTTTCGCTAAAGTCTTCTGCGCGTTTCATCCTCGACTTAGTCAACCCCGCTATTCTTTAGCGGATTTAGGCCAAGGGGCCTAACACAACCTTACAGCACAACTGATGTAGAGAAGTTTAGTAGAAATAATGAAATAAATATAGTAATCATTCAAAATACCACAATAAAGCCTTTTACCCACATAAGCCCCCCATAGGTGCATTTATTCGGCGGTCTGTATATACCGGTACTAAGGATTATGGTATACTTTTTCACCCAGCTCTGACTGGGATGCAATTTTTTTTGGGAGAGCACTGATCAATCAGAGTGGCCTGAATCCAATCTGAGGGACATGCAGTGGCTGTGGCAGTACTTTCAGCTTTTGGGCAAGTGCAGCAGTGGGGTGCAGCAGTGGGGTGCAGCAGTCACAGCTCCTAGTCACTTGGCCCAGCTGTCAGGGAAAACCGCTTGGCCGCACTGGCACACTCCCCTCGCCTGCACACATTCATTCAAGCACCCGCAACCTCGTCGCTGCTGCTCTGGCAGCCTCGCCGCGCATTCACTCCATCGGCAAATCGCCGTGCCGTGCCCCCTTCCCGCCCTCCAGCCCCCCCTGCTGCACGCCCACCGCGCCTGGTGCAGCCGCCCCCAGCAGCGCGTGCAGGGCGGAGGTGGGCGGCGGGCGGTAGGGCGTGGGGGGCAGGGGGGTAGGGTCGAAGACTGGCAGGAAGTGGATGGCGTGGGCAGAGGTGTTGGCCTGGGGAGGGTGGAGGCGAGGAGGGGCAGCAGGAGCAACGGGAGGTGGGAGGGGCGGAATGGGGGGATGGAGATGGATGGGCTAGCAGGTGAGAGAACAGACAATGCATGTGATGCCTGATCATGTATAGCAGCATGTGGGGCAGCCTGAGCATGTGGGGCGGCACTCACCTCGGCATGCAGCATGTCGAGCAGCACGGGTGGGATGGGGTCGGGGTGGGACGGCTGCTCCACACACATGCTCACCACACGCTGCAGCAGCGGCGCTGGGATGGTGGCGTACACCTGCATGGGGGGGCATGGTGGCGCACATGCCATGGGTTGAGCAAAACAGGTGACAAACTGACGTGCACATGCCATGGGTTGAGCAAAACAGGTGACAAACTGACGTGCACATGCCATGGGTTGAGCAAAACAGGTGACAAACTGACGTGCACATGCCATGGGTTGAGCAAAACAGGTGACAAACTGACGTGCACATGCCATGGGTTGAGCAAAACAGGTGACAAACTGACGTGCACATGCCATGGGTTGAGCAAAACAGGTGACAAACTGACGTGCACATGCCATGGGTTGAGCAAAACAGGTGACAAACTGACGTGCACATGCCATGGGTTGAGCAAAACAGGTGACAAACTGACGTGCACATGCCATGGGTTGAGCAAAACAGGTGACAAACTGACGTGCACATGCCGTGGCTGTACAGGCACGAGGCACAGCGTGCACGAGAGCGATGCAGTAACACTGTCATCCACTCTCACTGCTCACCCCTCTCCACCCCCCATTCCTCTCATCCCTCGCGCCCCTCACGTCACGTCCCTCTCTTCGCTCACACTGCTCTCCCCACCAATGTCGTCCCCCCTGCCCCCGCACCTGGCGGCGCACAGGGCGGTCGCAGAGAGCCTTCTTGGGCAGCAGCAGCACGTGGGCCAGCGCGCGCAGCAGCGGGAAGCACTCCGCCCGCCCACCGATCAGCTGCTGCACCAAACCTCTCCCCTCCTCCCCCTCCCCCTCGCGCCCTCCCAGCAGCAGCAGCGCCGCGGGGTCATACCCTCTCTGACCCGTGCCCCCTTCACACCCAGCAATGCTGCGCGCCACTGCATCTCCCATGGCGTCACCGCCTGTCACCGCTCTCCACCCCTCTCCCTGCCCCACCAGTCCATTTCCGCATCCCGGCTTTTCTGCCCCGCCCTGCCCCTCTGCGCCCTCTGGCCAATCAAAGAGCTCCAGCTGGCCCGCCCAGAAGCGAGCGGAGGAGAGCAAGGAGAGCGGGACGGTGGGCGGGGGAAGGATGGGCGATGGGGGGTAAGCGTGCGCAGCGGTGGCGGCATGCTGCGTGGCAGCAGCAGCGGCGGCGGCGGCGTGGCAGTGTGAGGAGACGTGTGCGTCCATGTCTGCAAGGAACTCACTCCACTCCGACACCTGGAGCCGTGCCGTGGGGTGCCGTGGTGGTGGTGGGGGGGTAACAGAGGGCACAGAGGCATGGCGGAAAGGCGCGAACACATTGAGGGTACATGAGGATACTGGGGCAGTGGCAGCCAGGGATGGGTCTGGATGGCAGCCAGGGATGGGTCTGGATGGCAGCCAGGGATGGGTCTGGATGGCAGCCAGGGATGGGTCTGGATGGCAGTGAGGGATGGGTCTGGATGGCAGTGAGGGATGGGTCTGGATGGCAGTGAGGGATGGGTCTGGATGGCAGTGAGGGATGGGTCTGGATGGCAGTGAGGGATGGGTCTGGATGGCAGTGAGGGATGGGTCTGGATGGCAGTGAGGGATGGGTCTGGATGGCAGTGAGCGATGGGTCTGGATGGCAGTGAGGGATGGGTCTGGATGGCAGTGAGGGATGGGTCTGGATGGCAGTGAGGGATGGGTCTGGATGGCAGTGAGGGATGGGTCTGGATGGCAGAGGTCATGCGAGGCTGGCATGTGTGCAGGCAATCGCAATCCCCTTGTGTTTCAGTCATCCCCCTTATAGATTATTTCAGCAATCCCCCTTACAACGTGTTTCAGCAATCCCCCTTACAGTGTGTTTCAGTAGCCCCCCTTGGCCGGCCCAGAAGCGGCCATTGGCGGGGAACGGCAGGGCGGCAGGTTCGGTGAGAGGATCGGCAGCAGGGTCGGTGGAGAGCACGTCGTTACCGGAGCGCAGCAACGCGTTGAACAGAGCCGCGTCTAGCCGCTGCTGGCACTGCTGCAGCACCTGAGGGGCGGTGGTGGGGGGAGGAGTGGGGGAGGGGGAGGAAGAGGGGGAGGGGAAGGGGGAGTGGATGAAACGGGGGGTTGCATGAGGTGGAGCAGGGAAAGGGATGGGAAGAGGGGGACCAAGGCGGTAGGCTTTGAAAGCAGACGTGCCAAAGCAGAGTGGCATGGCGTCAGAGAGGAATTGAGGGGATGGATGAAACAGGATGATGGGTGACGGGGTATGGAAAGGAGTGGAAATGCGGCAAGGGCGAATTGGGGTGAGGGTAAGAAAATGAAAAGGGGTAGACGAGTAGAGGGCAAGGACAAAACAAGCGCTGTGAGGTGGAAGGCAAGTCGTGGTGGTGGTGCACTCAAAATTGCCATAACACCAAAAGAAGGGGGTATGGAGGTGCTTGCTTTAGTAGCGGGTAGAGGCAGCACTGACCTGCTTGAAAAGCGGGTAGAGGCAGCCGCAGTGGTGCCCCATGGCCCTGTGAGGGCACAGCATGGCAGCCGCCTCGTGCATCACCGCCACCCACCGCTCTGTACCACTCAGCCCCGCCCACCAGGGCGCCTGCACTTCCTCCGCTGCACATATGGGGAGATGGAGAAAGGGGAAGATGGGGACACAGGGAGAGGGGAAGAGGGGGAAAGGGAGAGGGGGGAGAAGAAGCGGGCCTCACGGGCTATTGGGTGACGTGCAGTGCTAGGGGCTGATTGGGGTGAGCGCTATCAGGATGGGGGTGAGCGGGCGAAATGAGTCTAGAGCGAAGCAAAGGAGCTAACAAAGTAACAAACATGAGTTGATGTGAAAGAGACGTGCACAGAGCGAGGCATGCATGGAGACTTGAGAAGCGCAGTTAGATTTGCGCGTGGAATCAATGGAATGGACTCCAAGCAAATAGCTGCCTACAGTAGCCCTGGCCCAAAGAGATTCGGAGGTACGTCTGGGATGATCAGCAGAGACAAGGGCACCAACTAGCCAGCAGCAGTGAGACGTTTAGAAGGAAATAATGAGAGGGGCAAAAAGAGAGGACTCTCAGATTGAAGGGAGAATATGAGTCACCTCTGAGTGGGGGTGGCGGGGGCGTGGGGGCGGAGAAGGGCCAGAGGTACGACTGCTGGCAGGCAGAGGTGGCGCACAGCAGGGCGGAGGACCAGGCGGGGGTGAAGGGAGGGGTGTGTGATGGCGGGTGGAAGGGAGGCGGCAGCACAGGGGGGCGCTGCTGCATGGCTGGCAGGAAGACACGTGTCCACACCAGCTGCAGACACCTGTTGTGCTGCCATTGCTCCAGCTGCAGCAGCTGCGACTCAAGGTGCGCCAAGCTGCCCCACGGGTCCTCAGGCCGCTCTGGGTGCTCCGGGTGCTCTCCCCGGTCGTCATGACCTGTGCCAGGCCAGCATGCACCACCACCATTCGCAGCAGCAGCACCACTCCCAACACCACCACCAGCCGCCCCTCCTTCACCTGTGGCCGCCTCACCCTTCTTCCCCTCCCCTTTCCTCCTCTGCTCCTCCGCCACCAGGGGTGCCAGGGCGGAGCGCAGCATGGCCGTGTTGGACCACCAGAAGAGCAGCCGAGATGCGTTGTCGCTCGCCGCCCGGGCTGCCAGGAGCAGAGCGCGCATCACCTCCCTCGCCACGCCTGCCACCTGCTCCCCTTTCAACCCACGCGCCTTGCCCACCACTCCTCGCTGCTCCCTTCGCTGTCCCTCTTCCACCACCATCCCTTCCGTGCTTGCACTCCACCCTTGCCATGCATTCCCCTTTCCCTCCTCCCCTCCCCTGTGCCCGCCCTCCTCTCGCCCCTCGGCCATTTCCCCCACTTCGCCCCACAAATCCTCCTTCTCCACCCCCGCTCCCTCCTCCGCCCCCTCACCCGTACCGCCCCGCCATGCCACGGCCACCACGCGTGCCAGGCGCATGGCGGGGGTGTGCAGGCGCTGCACGGGCGACCCATGCCGGCCCGCCACACCATGCACTGCCCGCGCCACGCCACTCCCACTCCGCACCTCCCACGGCATCTTCCCGAACCTCCTCTCCGCGGCCTGCGCCCGCACCTCAGCCTCGGCAGCCCGAGCCAGAGCGCCAGCCACGGAGGCGCGGTCGTGAGCGAGGCGCTGCTTGGTGGCGGCGAGGAGGTGGGCGGAGGAGGCGAGGTGGCAGCGCAGCGAGTGCGTGTGCGCTGCCACGTGCCCTGTGGCCGTGGCGGCGGCGCTGGCCTGTGCTCGCAGGGCGGCCGTGGCGGCGTCCTGCGCTGCAATGTGGTGCTGGCAGGCGCGGTGGCGCGCCTCAAAGGGCGCCAGGCGCTGCTTGTCCGCCTCCACCTGTGGTGGGCGCACGTGGGGGGCTTCACTCATACTGTTGGCCTCCACCAATCAGTTGTATCTTAACAAAGGTTGGGACTCAATTCCAGACCAGGGGAAACTGCAGTTGTAAACGCAAAGTAAATCTGGGGGCTTGCTCTCTGAAGCTCGTCTATCTTTTCTCACACAACTATGACTCTTCTCGTCTATCTTTTCTCACACAACTATGACTCTTCTCGTCTATCTTTTCTCACACAACTATGACTCTTCTCGTCTATCTTTTCTCACACAACTATGACTCTTCTCGTCGCTGACAGCCGCAAGCAGCTCTCACCATCTTTATTAAGCAGCTCTGACTCACTGCCATCCTCACCTTTCGCTTCTCCTCCTGCAGCCGCTGCTGCTCCTCCTGCGCCCACTGCTTGAAGCGTGCCACCTCACCCTGCACGCGTTGCACCTCGCCCCTCTCCTGCTCCACCAGCTGCCGCTCCTTCCTCACCCGCCTCCACTCCATTCGCATTTGTGCCGCCTCCTCGCCCTCCCCATCGCCATCGCTCTCTGAGTCCTCCCTACCTTCCCGATCTTCTCCTCCGGCCTCCTCCGCACCACCACCTTTTTCTCTCTCCCCGTCCCCTCCACTCGCATACTCGCCACTGCCCCCCTCTCCCCCCCCCCCTTCCCTCTCCACCACCTCCCGCGCCACAGCCAGCACGCTGAACCTCCTCCTCCGCCGCCCACCACCGCCACCACGCGCCCCTCCCGCCACTACCCTTGGCGTGGCGGCGGCGCCCAGCAGTGCGTCATCGACGCCCTCCACCTCGTCAAACCGCCCCGAGCTGTACGGCCCCGGCACGCGCCGCAGCGCTGCCAGCACCTCACGCGCGGTCAGGGCGGAGTGGCTGCCCGCGCCCCCTGCTGCTGCTGACGCCTCCCCTGCATGCATGCTGCCTGGCAGCAACCCCCGGTGCCCCACGGACGTGAACGCCCGCATGCCCCTCCCTCCTCTCTCCCCCTCTGCAGTGCGCGGCCTCCCACCACTCTCAGCAGCACCGGAGGGCGCGTGCCAGTCGGGCGGCAGCATGAAGGGGCGGCGCGCACACGCAAAGCCCAGGGCGCGCGCAGAGGGCGGGGGGGCGGGCGAGTGCGGCGCTGAGAGGGTGCCGGGGGAGGGCGGAGAGACGAGGGGGAAGGGCGCTGTGGGGGGGCGCGGTGTGTGTGGGTCTGAGAGCGAGCGGTGCAGGAGAGGAGGCGAGGGGGGGTGCCGGTGTGTGGCAGTGAGGGCAGAGGTGGGATGTGCGGCAGAGGAGTGAGGTGGGAGAGAGCCTGAGTGACCAGCTGTTGCAGGTGGTGCATTCACCACAGCTGATGGCACTTGGCCCTCCTCACTGCCTGCACCTCCCTTCCTGGCCACATCGTGACACTCCCCCACCCCCCACGCCCCCATGCCTGCCTGCTCTGCTACAGAAAGTGGCGGTGCCAGCAGCACCCTCAGCTTGCTCCTCAGCTCCGCCACCGCTGCTGCCTGCTGTGCACCACGTGGCGCGTGCTCATTGGACAGGGAGGCAGGGGATCCTGCTGACATGGCAGGCGACCCTGCTGACGTCACAGGAGAGCCAGCTGACATGGCAGGGGAAGCGGAGGCGAGGGCAGTGGGAGCAAGGTGCAGCAGAGGGCGAGGGACGGTGGAGGGGACAGCTGGGTCATGGGCAAGTGCAGTGGGGTGGGACATGTGAGTGCCGGCAGCAAGAGCGGGGGCTGCGCCTGCTGATGGTGGCACTGCTGCCACGTGCTCCCTCCCCTGCATGCCCCCCTCCCCTCCCTGTGCCATGTGCTCTGCGTGAGCGGGCGGGCAGGGCACATCGTCAGACCCACATGTCCTTAAAGCAGCAGCAGCAGCGGTGGCAGGTGTGGTATGAATGCTGCCCGTGGTGGCAGCGCGTGGAATATCCACCATGGCAGGTTGTGCTGCCACCACCGCTCCCGCTGACTGCTGCACCGCTGCTGCCACCGCCCCTCCCCCAGCTGCCTGCCTCATGCCCTTGTTGCTCTGCCGCTTCCTCCCACTCTCATCCGCTGCACCAGCAGAAGGGTCAGCAGGAGGGGCAGGAGAGGAGGTAGAGGGGCGGGGGAGAGTGGCCAGGGCGACAGCAGCAACGGGATGTATCAGGCGGGAGGACGAGGAGAGGGGAGAGCGGTGCAGAGCGGTGGTGGATTCTGGAGAGCCTCCTGTGGGGTTGTGGGCGAGCCTGAGTGTGGCAAACTCCCCCCCCGCCAGCGAGTGCGGGCGGCGGCTGTGTGCTGCCTTGCGCGCCCTCTGAAGAGGGGGGGGGAAGGGGCAGGGAGAGGGAGGGGAGGGGCAGGGAGAGGGAGGGGAGAGGGGGGGGGAAGTGGTAGGGTGAGACGATGGCGGGGGAGAGGGGGAGAGGGGGAAGCAGGATGCAAGGGGGCCGATGATGGGTGGAAGACGGGTATGGAGCGTGGTGTGGTGTTGGGAGATGCCACCCGTCCTGCATGCCAGCACCACACCACTCATTCCCTTAGCCAACTCTCCATGCCTCCACCTCTCCCTCCCCCACTCTTCTCCCTCATTTCCCTCAACCCTTCCCCCTGTTGTCATGCTTTCCCCCCACCCTTCCCAACTCTTCCACAACAATTTCACTCCGCTCCCCTCTCCGTCCCTCCTTCTCCCTCTCCCAACCATGTGCCACTCACCAGCAGGTCGCGATGGGAGGGTGGGCGCGCGGCAGGAGGGGACGACGCAGTGTGAGGGGGGTGGCAAAGGGGGGAATCCGCAGAGGCAGAGGCAGGAGGGGAAGGAGCAGAGGCGGGGGGGAAAGGGGCGGTGGCACTGCAGGGAGGCAGAGCGACGGCGAGGGGAGAGGTGGTGGAAAAGAGGGTGGAAGGGGGCGAGATGCCTGGGGATGGCCCTGTGCCTGTGCCTGCCATGCACTGAGAAGTAGCAGGGGCAGCAGGGGCAGCAGGGGCAGCAGGGACAGGCGACACAGGCAGGGGCGTGGGAAGGTGCGGCTGCAAGCCCAGGTGCGGCTCCAAGGGCATGGACTGGCACAGCGGGCCGGGTGTGGCAGCGAGCACATGTGGGAGGGCATGAGCCGGTGCCACGTTCCTTGCGCCGTCCAGGTCGCCCCCTCTCCCCGCCGCTCGGTACAGCTCTGCCAGCGATGTGGCCCTCACCTGCCTGTGCACCACTGCCACCTGCCCCACCTGCTGCTCCCACCCATCATCCTCCACTGCCCCGTTAGCCCCGCTGTCTGCTTCTGCTGTCGCTGCTGTGCCTGCTGCTGCCTTGGCTGCGGCCGCCTCTCTCCTCTGCTGTAGCTCTGCCTCAATCTGCCTCATGCCTCGCGCCCTCTCCTTGCCACTCCCACCCGCTCTTTCCTTGCCACTCCCACCCGCCCTCCCCTTGCCACTCCCACGCACAGTCTTCCCAAACTCACCAGCAGCCACCCCCACTGCAGCAGCAGCAACAGCAGCAGGGGTGGCGTGGGATGGTGGCGCTTCAGCCTGAGCTGGGAGGCTGCGGGCTGAGAACGCACTGGTGGCGGACGGTGATGCAAGGGGGGTCGTGGCAAGGGGAGTGGCAGCGGCAGTGGGGGGGAGGGAGGAGGGGGGCGTGGCGAGGGGGGGTTTGGCATGGCGGCTGAAGCGGGTGAGCGCCGTGGCGGGGCGGCCAGGGACGTCCATGCTGCCCGTACCCCCCCGCCGCCTGCTCGCCCTGCTGCCCCTGCTGCCAGTGCCGCTGCCGGCAGTGCTGCTGTCACTGCTGCTGCCAGCGTCACTGGCATGGGCGGTGGCGAGCGGGTGTGTGAGTGCGGCGTGCATGGCGGTGAGCTCCTGCCCGCCGTACGAGTGCCGCCTGCCCGCTGCCTTGCGATGCGCCCTCTGAGGGGGAGAGAGGGATTGAAAGGAAGAAGAGGTGGATGGGAGAGGAGGGTGGATGGGAAAGGATGGTGTACAAGAGAGAAGGGTGAAACGGCAGAAGAGAGTGCAAACGGATTAGCAAGCTGGATTGCAGAGGCGAAGAGATAGTAAAAACATTAGATGGGAAGAGGGGGGGGGCACAAGGGAAGGTGGGCAAGGAATGGGGACATGGCGAGTTAGTAGCATAGCCGGGAGATGAAGGAGGGAGTGAAGAGTGCAAGTGCGATGGCCACTGACCAGAGCTGCCACCGTTGAGGCACGCTGGGTGTTGCTGGCCTCGGCTGATTCAACGCTGACTGCATCAGTGGCGTCAGTGGCGTCAGTGGCGTCAGCAGCGTCAGTGGCGTCAGCGGCGTCAGCGGCGTCAGTGGCGTCAGCGGGAGCATCAGCGGGATCTTCCCGGGCAGCGTGTGGTGCTGGTGACATTTGTGCTGCAGCGTGTGCTGCTGGTGACGTTTGTGCTGCAGCGTGTGCTGCTGGTGCTGGTGGTGGTGGTGGTGGTGGTGCTGGTGGTGGTGGTGGTGGTGCTGGTGGTGGTGGTGCTGGTGGTGGTGGTGGTGGTGGTGGTGGTGGTGGTGCTGGTGGTGGTGGTGGTGCTGGTGGTGGTGGTGCTGGTGGTGGTGGTGGTGGTGCTGGTGGTGGTGGTGGTGGTGGCGGGGCAGTGGGGGCGGCATGGAAGACGGCGAGCTCAGTGCCGCCGTACGACTGCGAGCGGTGAGACGCCTTCCTGCGCTGCTTGGCTCCCGGGGCTGGCTGGAGGGGTGGGAGAAGGGGGAAGACGAGAGGAGAGGAGAGGAGAGAATGCGGGGAGGAGGGGAGTGTGGAGGGGCAGAGAGGAGAGGATAGTGTGGGCGTGTGCAAGGAAGGAGGCGCACACAGAGCAGAGATGACGAGGAGGGGAGAGGAAGTGGAGGTGTAAGGAAGGGAGGGGAAGCAGGGAGGGGTGTTCCGAGGGGAGGGGAAAAAATGGAGTGTGGCGCCGAGGGGAGGGCAGTACATGAGGGGAGGGGGCATGGGTTGCAGCAGCCAGGCGGAAGGCGCGTGTGGCAGACATGGAGGTGGAGGAGGAGGAGGACGAGGGGGGGGGGCGCGGATGGTGCTGGTGACGATAGCGGCGAATGTGATGATGATGATGTCATGTATGCTGACGTGGATGCTGATGAGGCAGATGCTGACGTGGATGCAGAGGTCGCTGACGAGAGAGAGGAGGAGCGCGAGGGCACAGGGGAAGCAGAGGCTGATGGAGGATGGGAGGGAGGTCGTGATGAGGTGGATGAAGACGATGCTGACTTGGCAGACACTGCTAATGTTGCAGGGGGGGTTGACGTGGCAGAGAGAGGTCCAGAATCGCCCACTGCCACGTCACTCTCTCCAGCGTCTCTTATCCGCATCTCCTCACCCACTTCTCCCCCCGGCTCCCTCACGCCCCTCACCCCATCGTATGAGCCTGCTCTGCCTCCTCTGCGGCTCTTCCTCTGCTGCTTTCGCCCGCTCACCTCACCACTGCTCTGCACACCTTCTCCCTCATCTGCTAATGCCTCTACCCTCCCCACATCCCCCCCTCCCGCGTCTCTTTCTGCTACAGCCTGCTCGTGCTGCCATGGCCCGTGGGGAGGGCCATGAGTGTGGCCCTCTGCGTGCGCGCCCCCTGCCGCAGGGGGCAGCGCAGGCAGGGCAGGGAAGTCGGCCTCGCCCAGGAACGACCCCGCGCTGCCTCCTGCTGCCACGGCGGGCGAGGCGCACCCTGACGCCAGAGGGGACGAGGCGAGATGCGAGGGGGGGAGGGGGCGGTGCAGAGCGGTGGAGGGCAGCAGAGGTGAGGAGGTGTTGCGGCGATGACCCCTGGGGGCCGCCAGGCTGGGGGGGGGGGAGAGAGGGGGAGGGGGGTGGGGCAGCATGGACGGATGGGGGGCACAAGAGCAGCGAAGGGGGAGTGAGTGGCAGGTGGACGGGGGCCATGGGGCGGAGAGGCATGGATGCTGGCTTGCCCATGCTGGCAGCCTTTGCACCCAATGCTGACCCACAACCCACACATGCCTCTCACCCCACACATGCCTCTCACCCCACACATGCCTCTCACCCCACACATGCCTCTCACCCCACACATGCCTCTCACCCCACACATGCCTCTCACCCCACACATGCCTCTCACCCCACACATGCCTCTCACCCCACACATGCCTCTCACCCCACACATGCCTCTCACCCCACACATGCCTCTCACCCCACACATGCCTCTCACCCCACACATGCCTCTCACCCCACACATGCCTCTCACCCCACACATGCCTCTCACCCCACACATGCCTCTCACCCCACACATGCCTCTCACCCCACACATGCCTCTCACCCCACTCATGCCTCTCACCCCACACATGCCTCTCACCCCACACATGGCGCTGACTCACAATGGAGCTGCACCAAACTGCAGCTCTGGCAGCACACGAGCCACACCTGCCGTGCGCACACTCTCTGCCTCCCAGCACTCTGCATTCACCCCTCTCCCCGGACCTGACCAACACTGCCTCGCCCCCGCTCTCACCCCTGCCCTCCTCTTCCCTCACCTCACCACTCTATATTCTCCCAACCCTCCACCCATCGCATCCACTCCCCCTCACCCAACCCAACTGCTTCTCCAATGCTATCATCCACCCCCCATCCCACGCCCACCCTCTCGCTTCAACACCCATCACCCTCATTAAACCACTCCCTCCTCTTGATATGCACCCATGCCCTGCGCCCATGCCCTGCGCCCATGCCCTGCGCCCATGCCCTGCACCCCTCCCCCCCTTGGCGTACATGTGGGCCTCCTCAGCGGCGGCCTCGCGGCTGAGCTTCTTCCCAACGCACTCCACGCTCACCACCAGCACCGCCCCCGCCGGCCTCTCAGCAGCCGCCACGTCAGCCAGCATGGCGGGCCCGGGCGCCACTTTGAGGCGGCGCTCCACCACCCCGTCACAGTCCGCCAGCTCAGCCAGGTCCAGCTGCGCCCGCCCCAGAGGCTCGGGCCCAGCCTGGAAGGCAGGCTCGGATGGTGCATCGGGTGGGTGGCTTGGGTGGGCGGCGGCGGCGGGTAGCGCGTGGTGGAGTGTGAAGGTGGCTGCCTTGCGCAGGTAGGGCGCCGTGGGGGCTCCCCTCTCCCTGTACAGCGTCACTGGGATCTGCACTCAGGAGGGGGGGAAGGGGGGGGGGTCAGGGGGAAGGAGGGGGCGGGAGGGGGGGGGGGGGATAGGGGGGGACAATGGGGGAAAGAGGGGGAAAGAGGGGGAAAAGAGGGGGAAAAGAGGGGAAAAAGGGGAAAGAGGGGGGAAAAGGGGGAAAGAGGGGGAAAGAGTGGGGAACGGGAAGAATGGGGGGGAAAGGGGGCGAAAGGTGGGGAATGGTGTGCGGGAATGGGGGGGAGGAAGGTGGGGAAGGAAGAGTGAGGAGAGGGATGAGAAGGGGACGGTTTAGAGAGGGGGAGAAGAATGGGGAGGGGAGTGGGGGAGGGAGAGAGGGAGAATGCGAATGCACTGAGAATTTGAATTTGAATTGGAAGGTGGGGGAGATGGAAGGTGGGGGAGATGGAAGGTGGGGGAGATGGAAGGTGGGGGAGATGGAAGGTGCATGCAGCGTGGGCGAGGGTGGAGAGGGGTTTGTTGCTGAGTGGGGGGCGCATGTGTGACTGCCGAGTGCCACTCGCCCCCACACAGCACCCACACTTGTCCCGCGCCCCCCAGTGTCCCTCCCGCTGCCCCTCCTACCGCCTCAACCACGCCCCGCCATCCCACCACAGCACCACCCCAGAACCCCCATCCTTCCCCTGCTTCCCCCCATGCTCCCTCCCCCCTCCCCCCTCCCCCTTCCCCCAATGGGCGGGTGCACTCACAGCGTACCCGGAAGGTGTGGTGGAGCGGCACAAGGGGGGCGTCAGCGGGGGGCCACACGGGCGCGGAGAGGCCCGCCCGGCTGTCGCCGCGCTGCCAGCGGATGATGAGAGGAGGGGAGGCGCGCAGCCACCCGCGCAGCTGGCGTGCATGGGAGGGCGGTTGGCGGGCGAGGGGCAGGAGGGGGAGAGGGACGGGGAAGGGGGAAGAGGCGGGAAGAGGGGGGTGGAGATCGCTCAGAGTGGGGGGTGCAGGCGTGCGGGGACGAGGGGAGGCACGCAGATAGAAGCAGGGAGCGGAGAAAGCAAGGGACGACGTCGTCAGCGGGATGGAGGAAACGGGACGGGGGAAGCGGGATGGGGGAAACGGGACAGGCGGAGCGGGGCGGGGGGGACTTGGCTGACCTCGACGAGATGAATTTTGAACTCGAATCGCACCGCCACCAGATTCGCCTGCTCGATCTTGCCCGACCCCGATGACGTCAACGTATTCCTGCCGGCCGACGCCATCTCAGCTTCCGGCCGTCAACCTAACGGGTCAGCTGCGGGTCCGTCGGCAGGTCAGGCGAAACGCGATGAGGGCGCGGCGCAGTGTGGGCTGAGCGGCCCATCGGGGCCCGTCCAGGGGGTGCGCGAGGTGGGGACGGCGAGGCATGAGGAGGAACGAGAGGCAAGGGGCTTGAGTGGTGCAGGATTGGTTCGACGCGGCGCTGGTGACGTGCGGGCGCTCGAGCATGGGCAACGCACGCGGGTGAAGGAGGGAGTGGCGACCGCCCTTGACGCGCGGCGGACGGACGTTGGTGCACGAAGCGGGCTGGCGATGCCCGCGTGCTCCGCCAGCGATAATCGGCCCGCGCGGTGATGCGCACACGACGACGACGACGACGACGATGACGACGACGGCGGCGGCGGCGGCGGCGGCGGCAAGCAATGGTGGGGCGCTACGAGCAAGTGGCGGTAATGTGGGTGCACAGGTGGTAAGGAGGTGCTAGTCGGTAGCGCATCATTCGGAGTTGCGGGGAACGGGTAGCGAGCAAGTAGGAAGGGAGTTGCAACGTGCAGCCTCAAAAGGTGCCGACAAGGCCCAATAAGCTGATGGGTGTGGCAGGGAGAAGGAAGGAGAGCCCTGTGGCCGCCATAAGCTGGCTGCACGGGCTGTTGGCTATCTGCCGCAACACCAAGCATACGCATTTCAGGTGCAGCTTAGCTTACTATGGGTTTTGAAAAAAAAGGTAAAAGCTTTATGGACAAATTCCCAATTTGTTTTCTTAGGTAGTGATTAAAGCATGATTTTTGGTGCTCAGTTATGAATGCAGTACAAATGACACAGAGGCGGTTGTTGGAAACAAGTGATTTATAGCGCTTCTGTCGTATCGAAGCTTCGACACGAAACGGAACTGACTACAGCGAAGAAGCACCAGAGTCAACCGTCGGAGGTTGCGCGAAGGTCAAAGGTCTCCAACCTTTGACCTGACGAAACGTACAGTGCGACAGCAAGAACACATAACTGACTCGTTACAGAGCAGTTACCCGAGTCGGCACTGTATCGAACCGCAACAGCAAAAACAGTTAAGATACGGTAGAACTTTCCATATTCCTTTGTAATCATATAAAAGCCTTGTACTTCTCTACTATTATCAACTTATCTTGTTCTCACAAACTAGCACAAGGTGGTTCACGACAACTCTTCATTAAACGCTTCCGCTATTACAACTCTACGTCAACACCCGATCTAAGTCCTGAAAAAGGTTCTAAGGGCTTTTCTCAGCCCAACATGGTATGAGAGCAAGGCAGGACAAGATCACTCTTTAATTTTTTTTATAATACAATTCATGGCTACAACAAAGTGTTAGAATAAGGAACGGAATGAATGAACTAGGAAGCAGATGGGTAGAAGTAGGAAACCTAAAAGTGTTGTACCCTATATGAACTACCCCACTACAGCCTAGATAGACTATAGCATATAAGTTTGACACACCCCCATAGGCAAAGTGGGGGAGAACAGGAGGTCACAAGAGCAGTCAAGAAAAGCAAAGCAAGCTCAGGGTGGATCACAAAGTCACCACGCAGTCTGAGCACAAACAAATGGCCACAAGGCCAGTTCACATGCAGAGTTATATATAGGAGAACAAACAATACAGTGACCACAACCTAGCAAGTGTAAGCATGCAAGTATATGTGTATAGAGTACAGTACAAGCAAAGTCAAGAAGTAAGCAAGTGAGGCACAGTAGGCACAAGGCCTAGAACAGTACAGAAGCGCTGATGATCACAAGGCTGAAGTGCCTTGGTGAAAACATCAGCAGTGTTGGCCTGAGAGGCCACGTAAGCAAGACGAAGCTGACCACGCTGCTGCAACTCTCGAGCAAGGAAGTAGCGCAGACCAATGTGCTTCGTTCTTTGCTCCAGTCTGTGCTCCTGACACAAGGCAAGCATGGCCTTGTTGTCGACGTACAGAACTGGAGGGGAACGAGGCGCCTCTCCCAAGTCGGTCAGCAGGTAGGTAAGCCAGCGTAACTCCTTTGCAGCCATGGCCCCAGCGAAGATCTCAGCCTCACAACTGGAGCTGAGAACAGAAGAAGAGCGGGTAGACCGCCAAGAGACAGAACCGGAGCCAAGACTGAAGGTGTAACCCTGTGGCGACCGCTGCGTAGCCAAGTCGTCAACCCAGGAAGCGTCTGCGTGACCAGTGAGGACAACTCGAGCCCGTCCTCCAAGCACGAGCCCCATGCCCGACGTACTGCACAGGTAGCGCAACACCCTCTTCGCAGCATCCCAGTGCACCTTTCGGTGTCGACCGGGAGCCACGTAGCGAGCCAGAAGGCTGAGAGGGTATGCGAGGTCAGGTCGTGTGCAAGTCATCAGGTACATGAGGCAGCCCACAAGCTCTGGATACGGGCCACTCGGCTCTACGGACTCGTCCGAAGGTGGAGCTGAGAGAGAGTGACCAGTAGGCAGAGGAGTGGACTGTGACGAGGAGTACGTGAAGCCGAAGCGCTGAAGGACCTGCAGCAGCATGTGTGACTGAGTCAAGGTAATGGTGCACTATGCTCTGTCCCAGGTGATCCGGAAGCCAAGATAGCTTGTCAGTTCACCCAGGTCAGTGCACGTGTGTCTCTTCTGCAGCTCGGACTTCACGTGGGCGAGTGCCTCAGTGTCAGCAGTAGCAAAGACGAGGTCGTCTACGTACACGAGAACGTAGAACGGCGGCAGAGTGGTGTCAGTGCGTAAAAACAGTGACGGGTCAGCAGTGGAAGGAGCAAAACCAAGAGTAGCAAGAGTCGTCCTCAGTGTGTCGTGCCACTCACGCGGTGCCTGGCGGAGACCGTAGACTGGCCGCCGGAGGCTCCACTGGGTACCAGCAGGAAACGACCCAGTGAAGCCAGGTGGGCGGCGCAGCAAGATCTCCTCGTGCAAGCTGCCCTGTAGGAAGGCTGTGCTGAAGTCAAGCGAGTGGAGCTCGTAGTCACGGTGAGCCGCGACGTGCAGCATTACCTGAAGAGAGGTCATCTTCGGGGTAGGGGAGAAGGTCTGGAAGAAGTCAACTCCCTGTCGCTGACTGAAACCACGTGCAACGTAACGCGCCTTGAAGACAGGCAGAGAACCCGGCGGCCGCTTCACCCTGAAGATCCACATGCCACTGACGATGTTCGCCCCAGGCGGGGGAACCTCGTCGACGTAGGTGCCTGTGGACTTCCAGGAAGCCATCTTGGCGTCCATGGCTGCCTGCCACTGAGAGGAGTAGGGACCCTCTATCGCCTCTGCGTAAGAGCGCGGGGTCGGGATGTCTGGTGCATCCGGGTCTACCTCAGCATGGACACGAGATGAGGTACAGCAGCGGCAAAGCACTCAAACTCCTCCTGTCTGTCCTCAAGAACGTCCGTGCCAAGAGCACACTCACCCCCGATGGACGGAGGACAGACAGACGCAGACGCAGACTCAGCAACAAGACTAGTGGCGTTGTCTACGCGACAGGCGGCAGCAAAGTTAACAAGCTCAGCAACGAGAGCAGACGCAGCAGTGGACTCAAACAAAGGGTCAGTGACAGCAGTGGCCAGAAAGCGCGTGATAGAAGGACTAGCAGCACGAAGGGAGTCACACTCTGGGTCCGGACCGTCAGGAAGAGAGGACGTAGGAGGAGACGGCAGAGGGACACGCTGTGGAGCAGTGGAAGGACGCAGAGTCATAGAGTGAGTGCCAGGGACAGGAGGAGGACGCGGACGCGAAACACGACGACCAGCGCGAGCAGTGCGGACAGGCGACACAGAACGAGACACAGGCGACACAGGACGCGACTCAGGCTCACGACGCTCCGTAAGACCTACAGTCGGTCCAGAGTAAGGAGAAGGACCAGGCAGCGGAGAGGCCGGCTGTAACAGCGACTGTGATTGGACAGGCGGAGGACTCTCAGTAAGGGAGGAGGAGGACCAGGAGAAGGTGGGAGACCAAGAACCAGCTGAAGGAGTGGAACGTAGTACGGCCGCGGCCGCGCAGTGCCTCCAGAAACAGCAGAGACAGCACCAGTACCCTCAGCTCCAGGGTCTCCAGCTACAACTCCCACAGCACCACCAGCTCCTGTACCTGCAGCTCCAACGCCAGCAGTACCACCAGCCCCAGCAGCTCCAGTACCTCCAGTACGAGCACCTCCAGGATCAGCGGCTCCAGCAGCTCCAGCACCAACAGCACCTCCAGCAGCTCCAGCACCAGCAGCACCTCCAGCAGCTCCAGCACCAGTAGCACCTCCAGCAGCTCCAGCACCAGCAGCACCTCCAGTAGCTCCAGCACCAGCAGCTCCAGGAGTACGGCAACAGCGCCGAGCGTACCACTCACGAAGCCGCTGCGGAGAGAGGGGCTCCCGCCGCAACAGGACACCCGGAGAACCTCCAAACTCAGCACGCGCAGGCTCAGCACCTCCAGACTCAGCACCCCCAGACTCAGCACCCCCAGGCTCCACACGCTCAGGCTCAGCACCCCCAGGCTCCACACGCTCAGGTTCAGCACCCCCAGACTCCACACGCTCAGGCTCAGCACCCCCAGGCTCCGCACCCCCAGGCCCCGCACCCGCAGGCTCAGCACCCCTAGCAGCACCTGAGTCGACAGCTACCTCGACCGGCTCGGCAGGGTCTACCTCAGACACACCAGAGGGGGCAGGACCCTGAGGGGGGAGGGGGTCTACCGGAGGAGTACCTGGCGCTAGGAAGAGTGGCGGGGGGGGGGAGAGAGGCAGTGCGGTAGGGAAAGAGACAGTGTTAAGACACCGACTCGTCAAAAGTGACGTCCTGAGAGGACAGAACACGATGCGAGGTGGGGTGGTAGAACTGCCACCCGGGTGCGTCAGGGGGGAAGCCAAGGAAGACGCAGGGAACGGCACGGGAGGACAGCTTGTCCGCTGAAGTATCGCGGACAAAAGCTCGAGATCCCCAGACACGGAACGCGGATGCATCGCCAACCTTCCCCGTCCACCTCAGAGTAGGTGTGGTCTCAGGCAAGGAGACACGAGGCTGAAGGTTG